CAAGCATATAATTGGCATGACTAATCACAAGTTACATGCTTATATGGCATGAAAAATCAATGACCAATCTAACGACAAAAATAAAATTCCTAAGAGAGCTTACCATGATATGAATTGAAAAAAATGAAAAATCTTAAATAAAATTATCAATTAATATTAAAGTTTATTTAGTTTTTCAAGACCACCCTTTCTCAAACTATTTTCTTGCTCCATCATTGTCCTGATACTGAGGTCTAACCTGGCAAACAAAAAGAGCTAGAATTTGGTTCAACTCAACCAGGTAGAACTTATCAAGTACCTTTGAAACTCCAGCTCTTTTAAAATGGACATCAATGGAGCTTGTGGTTGCTTAATGGAGTACAATTCAATAATAGGGTTGTAGTTTCTCAGCAAAAGGACCTGGCTCCATGTCCTTGAGCACCCTAGACCAGAAGAACCAAATGCAATATTAAGCTTTATAGAACTAAATGGGAGGCTCTACTATACAGACTGTCAAAGGATTAGAAAAAGACAGTCCTTTTACCACCCATCTCATTCATCATCCATATGAATATTACGAAAAGCATATCAATTTCACTTGAGGGGCAAAATGAAGCCCACCTTTTTAGTTACTGCAGTTTATTCTACCATAAGGGACAAAGGGTATTTATCAAGTAACTACAATCTAACATTTGACATGGTGGACTTCAAGCTTTCCATAATTTCTGAGATTATATACATAAAGATCATAGTTACACCTAGTCAAAAGACTGCTCTCACTCCCTCATTCCATCCAACCACTCTCTCCCTCTCCTCCTTTTACATACAGAATAAATCAATATTAGCATTTGACATACCTTCTTTCATAGCCTAGAAAGCTGCCAAAAGAGCTGCACAGGCCTCAACAACCAAAAGGGAGACACAGGATCCATTAATTACAGAAGGCCCTGATTATCTGCCCCTGTTTCTTGGCTGCTACCCAGGCTATACCATCTCTAAAAGCTGCATCAAATCTTACATCTATGCTACCATTTGGTGGGGGAACCAAATATCTGAAAGGGGAATCAAAATCCTCCCGAGTCACATTTTCCTGCAATTCCATCCGGTGGGTGTAGTTCTTTACCATCAATGGTGAATTTCGTTACTATAATGAAATTCACTTGTTTGAATTCATTACTATTCATTTACAGGAGAACTTCACACCATTATAGTAACGAATTCAATTCACCATTGATAGTGATGAACTTCACCCACCGGGTCGAACCACGGGAAAACGTAGCTGGAGTGGATTTTGATCCCTGCAAGGGAGGGGCCAAAGTGGTGCAGAAAGCAATGAGCTTGAAGCACTGTGACATGAGTAGCGAAGGCCCTGACTACCCAAACCCCAACTCCTCTCTATATATATAAACAATTTTGCAGTTGATGACATGTCCTTGAGCTTTTCCAGGGGTTGGTGTCTATAAAAGGATTGAATCACATTATTGTGTCCTCCTACCATATACATCAATGATTCACCCATCCACATTAATGCAAACACAAAAATCTCATGTCCACTTGACTGGCTTGGGGATGTCACCATATTGAAAGTACAAAATGAAAATGCTGATATGCAAAAACAACAAAACATGATGTTCAGTAATGACTGAAGTTACAATATGACAACTTCCTATCCTGTGAGTTGTTTTTTTTTTTTTTTTTTTTTTTTTTTTGTAACTGTGTTTGTTTATAAAGGAGCCTCTGAATCCTAATTAATTCCAATTAAATTCCTGTGTTAAGGCAGACAAAATAAAAGGGAAAGGCAATTCAATACTTCCAAACACTTGTTTAATGCCTTCAAAGCCGCTTTCAATTGTTTAAGAACAAAATTTGGCACAACACTCGAGTTCACATACAATAGCAGGCCGAACAACAAGCAAAACCCTGTTAAAATTGGATATCTCAGAGAATCTAAACCTTAGATGTAGCTATCTGAAGAAAACTGGTCCACCAAGTATATCAAGAGAAAAAACATATAACAAATTACAACCATTAAGAAATTCGACAACATATCAGACAAAACTTGGAAAAATAATTAGACGAAAAACTATACCAAATTGATCAAGGTTGTGCAAGTCAAACAAAAAAATGAAAGAAAAAAAGTAAATTAATTTAAAAAATCAATCTTCAAAAATGATTACATCAATCACCAAAGGATATTTGGTAAACCTAGACTGCAACCACTGCTCCAGCATGGATCAAATTCTTCTCGTGTAAATTGTGAATGTTAACATTTGTTTAACAGTACTTGTATATTGTAACCAAAATTTGTTTAATACGACTATATAACTAACCAAAAATACAACATAAATATCTAGAATCGAAAAGAAAACCTAAATTATAATCCCTTAAGAAGCCTAAGAAGCTTACATACCTCTGCATATCACAAACAAAGAGGTGGAGTGCACCTCAAGGAGCACCTGAATCTCACTACGAAAAGCATTGAGTCGTCACCCATATTCCTTCTATAATCATCATAATACTAAATTTTGGGTCAATAAAAGATTAAGAGAACACATCCACATGGTGGTTCGAATTATTGCAAAACTACACATATTGCTTAGTGCACTGATAAACTGCCAAGTTGCTAGGCATGGGGATTCGGGTTCAAATCCCAAGGGCAGCTATCATACAAATAATGCCAAAAATTAAGTCCATATCCAACTCACCCCACCCAATACCCTTTGTTAATGGAAACCACACTAGACCGTACTAGAAAAATGACCCTCATAGCAATATTCTCTTTCTTATTTGGACAAGATCTAAAATTATATATATTAATCTAGTATTGATTAGTGAGATATTTAAACTTTTTGTGGACCTAAAAGATGTATTTTTCTAAGCATTTTCCAAAAGAAATTGCAACATACTTAATTCTTGAAATATTTACTATTACATTTTTTTTCATAGTTGGTCCTCATTTACTATTACATTTCATTTATCAAACTTTAAAAAGTCATATATCTTTCGAAGGAAAGAAAATTCCTATTGGGTCTTTGAAGTTCTCCATTATTAGCACCCTTTTTTGTTGGGTTCTAGGGAGAAATTGTAAATCCATGGAGGAGTTTGTTGATCTTTTGGGTTCTTTGAGGGCTTAGAGGCCCTTTTTGGCCTTTTGTAGCTTTTGAGGGATGCGTTCCCCTTTTGAACACTCTTTATTACAATTTTTTTTTATAAGTAAAGATATATTAGAAAGTGTTCAAAAGGGGAACTCATCCCAAGAGCTATACAGGGGCCGAAGCCAAGAAAGAGGTCCTAAGGACCCAAAGAACCCCCCAAAAAATCAACGATTTCCTCTATAGATATACAATTTCTCCCCACCACCCAACTAGAAAGAGAACAAATAATAACATATTTCAAGGCCACAATGGAAGATTCTTTCTCTTCAAAAGATCTACTATTCCGCTCCTTCCAAATGCACCACCAAACACAAAGAGGGATCGCCTCCAACAGTCACGGGTTTGGGCCCCAACGCTGCATCCTTTCCAAACATCAATCAATTCCCTCGCAGATCAAGGCATGACCAATTGGATGCTGAACAAACCAAAAATAAGGCTCCAACAATTGTGAGCCACGGGCAATGCAGAAGAAGGTGATCCACGGACTCTCCATCATTTTTACACAAATAGCATTAATTAACAGTAATATGTCTTCTCTTTCTAAGATTATCCGTTGTCAATATCTTCCCCCAAACTGCCATCCACATAAAAAATGCCACTCTGAGAGGAGCCTTAGATCGCCACACCGTCTTCCACGGGAAGATAAAACCATGAGTCCCAGAGAGACAGAGGAACAAGGAATGAATCTCAAACCTCCCTAGAGGAGAGGGCACCCAAAATAAGGAATCAAAGCCTCTACCATCAACCTTTTGCCTATACAAAAGATCCAACAAGCCAGAAACATCGTCCACCTCCTAGTCCTGAACCGATCGCCGAAAACACACGTCTCACGAAAACCTACCACTATCAAGCCAATAACAGTCGGCCACTATGGCATGTTTATCGACAACAATCCTAAAAAGTTTGGGAAACAAACAAGACAGCGGGCGATCCCCACACCATAAATCCTCCCAGAACCGAACATCCATTCCCTCCCGAACTCTTAATCTAGTGTGCTTAGAAAACTCGTCCTAGCCCTTCCAAATAGACTTCCACACTCCAACACCAGCAACAAATCTAACCAGACCAGAGGACCACCCTTCTGTCTCCTCCCCAAAACTTATCCAAAAAAAAAAAGTCATATCTTTATTCAAGACATTGAAGTAATATGATAACTTTTTAGCACGGTCAAATTTTTATTTTTCACTTTTATTTTTGTAAACTGTGTCATTTTATAAGTTTTTCTTGCTTTTCCTATCCATAAAGTTTGGAGGAGTTGGAACATAATTTTTTTATTTATTTTTCTTTCAGGAAAAAATCGCTCACAATGATAAGAGTTGGAAGGCAGGGGATAAAATAGCACTCTGTAGGAGGGGTGAAATTGATATCAGTCGATAAATACTTAATAATCTTATATCAACGAAGAAGAAGAGGCACCCAACCAACATTTTGTAACTGAAGACAACTGAAGTCTCTTAGTAACAAAACCTTTTATTCTCTAATTATTCTCTAATTACCAAAACAAATTAACCCTTTAAAAGTGTGAAAAAGAAACCTGTCTTCTATTAGACAACCTTTCTTGGAAGAACAACTCATTTATCTGATTTTATGTAAACATTGAGATACTTAGGTGGTAACATGCCAACATAATAATTATAATAACACATACCTTATCCAACAATATCGTAACAGTTAAGTTAAGATCATCTCTTACAATCATCGGAATTAACGGCAAACATATAACAATCAAAATGCTCTTAAGGAATTTACTTTCCAGCTTAGCTTTGGATAAATTATTGGAACTTACATTTCAAGTCTAACTTTATCTGATTACCATACAAGTAAAGAAAATATATCACATCAATAGAGAAAATGAACAGGAAGAAGTTAGGATAAAATCATGCAACAGTCTCAGATAATTCGAGGTAACTTCAGAGAGAATGTACATACATACATACAAATATATATATACATGTAGAGAGAGAAGGGATAAAAGAAGTAGAAAAAAAACGATATTTATTATATTAAAGATGAAAGCAAAATATAGAAGCGAGATAAATGATAACCATACATTGATTCCTGCTAGCAGAATGCACACTTCAAAAGTATAAGGACAAGATCATGCATGCTTAAACAATTTCATACTCAGCCAGTGAAAGTATACAGCGACCACTACAATTGGAAGAGTCAAGGGCACCAAAAGGCAATAATACCTGTCACAGAAAACAAACCCAATCAGGAGAACATGAAGAGAAACTGATCGTGTTATTACTGAAAATTATTAAAATCCAATACACATAACAATAACGAAACACACACACATGATCCATGTATAGCTAAAACATTGGCGTTTTGATCCCACTCCCTCACACAAAGACAAAAGTTCCAATGCAAAGCTAGAGCTGTAAAACAGTATATGGAAAAATAAAATGGCAATACAACCTAAGCCCTAAGGTAGGGATGCAAATTACTCAATCAACGTATCGATTGATAGAAATCCAGAATGCGTCAATCGAAGAAATGCCAATAGTGTTCAATTGATATCTCAATCAATCAACTTGCATGCAAACTATTTTGGGAACTCTCTCAAAGCAAAATTCTAAAATGTTGGCCTTTCTTCTTCTTTTTTATTATTACAATTCAAAAACCCTAATTCCTTTGGACACAAAACACTACATAAACACCTCTAGGCTCTCATAACTAGTAAAGATATATATAGATTTCTCTCCACACAAAATTGAGAGAATACATACATATCTAAAAAGATTTTTATACAAAACATCTAGGCAAATAGAGTGCATATTTTTCTGTTCATCATCTAAAATTTTGCATTAGATGGTGAGTTATTATTCTCACCAACTTGGGGAACCTAAATCGTCAACAACAACAAATCACACAATAAGCATACTTGGAATTTGTATGTCAATAGTGCTGGAGATCAGAGGTCCATGGAGAAGCAGATCGCATGGGGAGCGGATTGGTTGACGAAATGCCAACTGAATGAGTTTGTGGAGGATCTTCTAGTGTAAGTCTGTGTCAAGAGGGACTAGGTGATACTGGTAAAAAATCTAGTAACCTGTTATAATCATCTTTCTCACATTAGCGAATTTCAATATGCCATACTAGGTCTCATAGTTTCTCCCCGTTGGGATTTTTCAAAATCTAGTGTGTTCTGTGTGACTGCTTATATATATATATATATATATATATATATATATATATTGCTCTCTATAGTTTAATAATTATATTATTGCATCTAAATATAATTATCAAAATTCAAAAATATGTTACTGTTAGCAAAAATTGAACAAAAACTATTCACCACTCTAGATTTATGTATGCCTTTAAGCATACCCTATATTAGAGCCTAGGGTTCTGGTCCTTAGTTTTTCTCAGCGTTAATGTCAACATTTTCGAAATAATACTTCAGAAGTTTAAAATAATATTCTGTAATGAACAAAAAATATTTTACATGTAAAAAAAATTTGTGTAAAATATTTTAAAAAAAATAAAAAATTTCCTGGTGTTTGGCTTAGTTTCCAGAAAATATTTTCTGAAAACAATTTCTGCTGTTTGGCTCTTGAAAATATTTTTAAGTGAAAATCAAAACTCTTTATGAAAATTTAACTTGAAAACATTTATCCAGTGAACACTAGTCCAATAAATATGGTCACGCCGTCACATTACCAATTGGGGGTTGCCACCATCAGTTAAGTCCACGCCCAGTTTGGAAGCCCCCCAAGCAGGAACTTGACTACTTTTTTTTTTTTTTGTTTTTTTGATAAATAAGCAATTCATTAAAAGCGTTCAAAAGGACGCCACCAAAGACACGGGTGCCATCCTCCAGAACCCTCGAGCCTGTGCTCCCACCCAACCCCCTCTCTAGGTGTCCATCAGACCTCTCGTAGATCTAGGCATGACCTAGTAAACTCCAAATAGGCCTAACAAAAGATTCCAACATTCAACCGCCACTGGACAATGCAAAAGAAGATGGTCAACCGACTCGCCATTACACTTGCACTGTTACACATGCAACACCAATTCACCGTGATATGCTTTCTCCTTCTCAAATTATCCATCATAAATATTTTACCCCACACGACCGTCCAAGCAAAGAAAGCCACTTTCAATGGCGCCTTGGTACGCCACACTGCCTTTCCAAGGGAATACCAACCCAGCTGGGTCCAAAAGGCATATGAAGAAAGATCTCACACTAAACATTCTCCTAGAAGAAGGAATCCAAACAAGAGAATCCCTACCTCCTCCACGGATCACCTGGCTATACAACTACTCTAAGAAACCGAAGACATCATCCATCTCCCAGTCCTGAAAAGATTGCTGAAAAAGCATGTCCCAAACTGGTCTCCCGCTATCAAGGCGATAGCAGTCAGTGATCGAGGCATGCCTATTAGCCGCAATCCTAAAATTTCTAGGGAAAAACATGCTCAAGTGCGATCTCCACACCACAAATCCTCCCAAAACCGAATCTCCATACCATCATGAATTCTGAACAAGCAGGAACTTGACCACTTAGCAGTAGGATGACTGTCGGGTAATCAAAACTGTGCCACAAGACTGGTCCAAAGCTGCTACTGCTTCTTCTGTTGCTCGTTTAAAAGTACTTGTGGCACAATTAAATTCCTGGAATCAAGTAGGGTGACTGCAACTGTACTTGTAGTACCATCAATACTGAATGCTAATTGAATATTGGAAGTACTTATATTTATCAGTAACCCTCCATGATAAGTTAATCTCAAGATACCATCCGTATCCATTGTAACAACTCCGGAGGAATCAGGAACTGGATTGCCAACACAAACTGGTTTATCTTCATTTTATGCGTAACATATTCCCAAGAAACAATAATTATAAGAATCAAAGAAACCAAATTTAAAGACTCCCAGGGCAGAAGTTAACGATAATTGTATATGATTTTGATCAGATAACTTTTGCATGGGGAGTCTTTAAATTTGGTTTCTTTGATTCTTATAATTATTGTTTCTTGGGAATATGGTATGCGGAAAACGAAGATAAACCAGTTTGGGTGGGCAATCAGGAAAATCCAGTTCCTGATTCCTCCGGAGTTGTTACAATGGATACAGATGGCATCTTGAGATTGACTTATCGTGGGGAGATACCAATAAATATAAGTACCTTCAATATTCAATTAGCATCCAGTAATGATAATAATACAAGTACAGCTGCAGTCACGCTACTTGATTCCAGGAATTTAATTGTTTGACAATTACTTTATACTAGCAACGGAAGCAGCAGATTCGGACCAGTCTTGTGGCAGAGTTTTGATTAACCAACAGACATCCTACTGCATGGAATGAAACTAGGCATGAACCTAAAGACTGGTCAAACCTGGTTTCTAACCCCATGGTTAAGTGGCCAAGTTCCAGCTCAGGTGGCTTTCAAACTGGGCGTGGTGGCAGCCCCCAATTGGTTATGTGGCGGCATGACCATGTTTATTGGACTAGTGGTCACTGGATAAATGGGGGGGTTTCCCAAATGTATCTGAGTTGACAGATAACGATTGATTCTACACTTTCCGAAGAAAATCTACTCCAGCATTCGCTAACTATATGTCAACCTATTAAAATAGCAGATTATGCACTGATCATAAGGGGAGTTGTTAGAAAATTACGGTCCACAGCAGCAGGGACAAGACATTTGTCACTGTGCTCTGCACCAACATATTAAATTTATTACAACTTATATCTAATACATCCTCTCTGAATCCAAATAAAAAAATTAGGATGATAGTTATTAAAACTCATGATTTAAACTGAAAGTGTTTAAGGGTATGCACATCATTTTCTGGTTTTCTATGCATATGCAGGTCTAAAGAAAAGCTCATACAACGTTCTTAGAACAAGAAAGACAGACAAGAAAATGTTATATTAAAACCTGATTTTATATTAAGCTGTCGACATTAACACAAAAGTTTAATAATGTCTATCATCCTTCTTGAATTATCTAAATCTGAAAAGTAATATTCTCTTATGATCATACGAGATAGTGCGGCAATCTTTGCCCATTTTTTCAAAACTATTTTGAAGAAACAAAAACAGATAAGTTTTGCCTAACCCAAGTAGTTTCCACATTTCAACCATCAAATCAACCAAGAAATTCTAAGTTTCCTCATTTCGACCAAACCAAAAACATTGAACTGGGTATATTAAGAACAAAACATAAATAATTAAAGAACTAGTTAATAACACAAATCAAATACCTCCTCGAGAAATTTTTTGTCAAGCCTATCGGCGATTCTGATAGAAGTGAAGATCGTGACAGCAAGGAGAGTGGTAAGACAAAAGCAAAGATGTAGTTGTTGGACCAGAACTGGGTATATAGAGCTCATGCTTTCGTCTAGGGTTTTACAGTGACAAAGGAGAGGCTATGGTGTAAGAGAGAGAGTGAGGCGTTGCTATGGTGTGTGGAGAGAGAGAGAGAGAGAGAGAGAGTTTCACGAGGATTGGTAGATTGGGTTTCAGAGCGAGAAAGAGAGAGATGTGTGTGACGGGGCCAATTGGGTTTCAAAAGGAAAATGATTTACCGGAATTTTGTAGGAAAATTGTTTTCATACAATTTGAGGAAAATATTTTTCTTATTTTAAGATAACCAAACTCCAAAAAATAATAAAAATGTTTTACGTAAAAACAAATGGAGCCCTAATTTTAAAATAATGAAAAAAATAAATTAACTTGAAAAAGAAAGAACCAAGGCATGTTACCAAGTGGAGTCTTCTCTCCTTTCAAAAAGCCAAAAGCAGTGAGTTCAAGTCTCCCCAAGAGCAATGTAGGAGTTATTTGTCCCGGAAAAAAAAAAAAAAAAAATCATTTTCATTATAAAAAAATTCTTTATTTAGATTCCATCCTTTCTCCCATACTTCTTCTGACATTTCATTCCACACTTCTTAATATTTTGAAATCTCAAGTCAAAGTTGCTTAATATAAATGATTTAAAATTCATTATTTTTTTCTAATCTTTCATCTAGATATATCTTTCCCAAGTGTAATCAAAATACTCAAATTTTTTCTTTCAAAAATTAGATTTTTGAAAAACTGAAACAATTGATGAAGGAAAATTGATTCTCTAACAGTGCTTATTTCTTTACCTCTTCTCTTTTTAATTGTAATTCATTGTTTTTTTCTCTATATATTTCTTTCTAATATCAGTTTTTCGTCTACTATTAAGCTGTATTTTT